CATATTGGGTTACAGAGGCTAAAATCTTTTTGATTTTTGCCTCCAGCCAGACTTGAACCATTGACCTTGACTGTGGAGGCATGGAAGCTTAACCGCTAAGCTATGGGACCCATACCCAAAAATAATATTCATATTAAATTATTATATAAATAGTTTATATATATATTTAATAAATACATTAATATAAAGGATATAAGTAAAACCATTTTTGTATATCAATATACTTTTTTAAAAAGTTGATTTTGATATATTTTGTAATTCAAAGTATAAGTTTTTATAGAAAGATAATGCTTAGTTATCATATAATAAATTATGTTAGTTGTTAGAGCAATTTATATTCATATATATATATGAATTTTTTATCATAATAATTTTTGAATACTTAAATATAATTGGTCAAGTAGATCATATTAAAGTAGACATTCAACAAACTGGGCACAGATTCAAAAATTGTGCTTAGAGTGCCTTCCTGTTAACTAATTTATCCACTTTTTATTATAAAATATTAACAGAGCATGCCTTTGCAAAGTTCACTCAGACCTTAGTACCAACTTCATAACATATCTTTAGTACTTATAGTATACTCCTGCTTTGATCTCAGACTCCCAATCCAGATAGCCTAGTAGAACTATGACCTGTTCTAGTATATCAAATCTGGTCAGATATTCTTTTTCTCCAGTCTAATTTCTAGTGGCCTAGTTAGTATTACCCTTTATCTAGAGATTCTTGCCTACCTGATTTCTCCATATTGATATTTGTTTCTTAGGTTTAGCTTTTACAGTAATACTGTTAAAGATCTGTATTATCTCTTTACTTGGGTCTTCTCAAGTGAGCTCCAGTTTTTTCAATTCTACAGATTTATATGACTAAAGGACTTATTTTGGATTTGTATCACCTGATACTGGTTTGCATTCCTCTGTATAACCAAGATTACACAGATGCCCCTAACCTGCCAGTCATGCTGATGTGATCATAGTTACAGGTATTCTATCCCAACTGATCAACAGAATGCTATTGCTGTAATATGAATATTAAATAAGTAATTATTCAAATTTTGCCATTCATAGTTTTTGAACTCACAACCTACCACTTGGAGGGTTGACAACCTGACCACTTCACTAGGTCACCACACTCTCCTTAATTTAATTATTAAAAATAGGTATTATAATATAAGTATTACATAAATAATTATTCAAATTTTTAATATTAATAAGATTTGAATATCCAACTTATCACTTAAAAGATTAATAACTTATTTTAAAATAATTAATTTTTTTTTAGTTAAAGTTCTTATTTTTAAACTACAACTTTTTTATTTAAGTTTGTAAAACACACAAGTGCATCCAAAGGCTTTTTTATATTGAATATTACAACTAACTATATGTGCACTTTTAGTGTTTAATTTAAGTAGTTTGTTTATACATTACTATACAGATTCTATACTTAACAGAGTTATGTCTTTGCAGAGTTTATTCAGACCTTAGTACTAACTTTATAGCATATTTCTAATACTTTAGTAAATCTTTGCTTTGAATCTCAGACTTATAATTTAGATAGTTTAATAAGACTATAACCTGTTTTTAGTAGATTAAATCTAATATAATATCTTTTTTTTTAGTTTAATTTTGGTAATCTAATTGGTAATATCTCTTATCTAAAGATTTTTACTTATTTGATTTCTTTATATTAATATTTTTTTTCTAAGTTTAGCTTTAATAATAGTACTTTTAAAAATCTATATTAACTTTTTATTTGGATTTTTCTAAATAGGCTTAGGTTTTTTCTAGTTTTATAAATTTATATAGTTACAAGAACTTATTTTAGGTTTGCACTATCTGATATTAGTTTGCATTCTGCTATGTAACTAATATTATACAAATGCTTTATAACTTGTTAGTTATGCTAGTATAACTATAGTTACAGATATTTTATTTTAACTAATCAATAAAATACTGTTATTATAATATATTTTATAAATAATTGTCTAAATTTTTACTTAGTTGGTTTTGAACTTATAACCTATTACTTAAAAGATTAACAACTTATTTAATTTACTAAATAATCACACTTCTTTGTAAATATAATCTTAAATTGTACTATATTAAATTTAGAACTTAATAAGCTAATTAACAATATTGTCAAAGTTCAAATATATATATATATATATATATTGTATATCAAAGTTCAATTTATGTGAATTTTAAATTGACTTGTGTTAGTTTAAAATTTAGATTTGATATTATGTTAATGCTCAATTAAAATTTGCTTGTATAAATATAAAATTAACATAATAAGTATATTAAATTTACATTTATATCAACTTAAAATTATATTTGCAAAAGAAAAAAATTTGCTTAATTTGATTTTCAGATACAGAATAATATTTAAATAATACTTATTTCTAGCTATATAGTATTAAATTCTAATGTTCATAATGCAAAACAATTGCTTATAACTTCATAAAGTCACTAACTATATATAAACTTAAATTATTTATTAGTATATAAATGCTATTTATCATAATTTACATAACAATTACTGCTAAGATAACAATTTGATCTACAAACAATATTAGCTTTCTTACATCTATATTGATTTTGATTATATTTGGTATAACAATTATAATAAATACTAGCAATAGTTGATGCTAATTGAGCAAGTGCAGCTTTGTAAATATCAATCAAAAAATTAAATATGTTTTTAAGTTCAGTAAACTTTTGTAATTTCATTAACTTCATTTTATTTGCTGAATAACACTTATTAATTATTTCTGCAGTACAACCAAGTTAATATAGATTATTTGGCAAATCTTTAACAATCTTGCATGAAAGAGCTTTGCGATCTGTATTTGATTGATCAATTAGTAAAACCCAGATTCTTATATAAGTACCTTTTTATAAAAGACTGTTAATGTTTCTTTTTTTGTTTCACTTTTCTAATTGTTTTTTCATTTTTTGTGTTTCTTTTTGTATAAATTCAGCTGCTAAGTTATGATAAATCTCATATAAAGTTAGTAGTATGTTCTCTTTATCTTTTATTATATTGTGTCTTTCATGATATATAATTTGCTTTAAATTGTCATATTAAATATATGTTTATAAAATTTATAAAATTATATAATCATTGCTACTAAATATTACAAATATGTTATACTATTATTTATCTCAACATTTTGATCCATACTAGTTTCAACATTAGCAGTATTACTATAATTTCTTTCATTTAAGTTAGAGTTTAATTCATCATTCTAAAATATATAATTAGTAATTACTATAAAAAAAATTAAATAATAATATAAAAAAATAAATGATTTATAGCTTCTTGATTTAATTTGATAGTTTGATTCAATTCAGCAGTTTGATTCAATTCATTTGTTTGATTTAATTTAATATATTGATCATTTAATTTGATAGTATGGTTTTTTTAGTACTTTGATTTAACTCAATACTTTAATTTAATGTAATGTTTTAATATAATTCAATACTTTGTTTAGACTCAATATTTGATCAGATTTAATAATGTGTTCAATGCTTTGTTCAGATTGAATACTTTGTTCAGATTCAATAATTTGTTCAGATTCATTATTTTGATTTAATTTACTATTGTTATAAGCTTTATAATTAGCTTGAAGAATTATTTT